GGGGCCGGGCGGGGTCGGGGCGCGCCGGGGGTGAGGTAGCCTACTAACCTTGGTGCAGCACGCCGGCCGCAGCCCCGACTCTGCCCCGGCCCCGGCTGCAAATGCAAACGATCTCCAAATTATAACGAACGCCGAACACTCGAGAAGGCGCTGGAGCGGCTCTGACGACCTGCCGAAGTCCAGCCGAAGGCGAGCCGAAGGGGGCGCGCAGTGCGGCGCGGCGGGATTGGTCCATTGCCAACCCCTTCTATGTGGAGCGTGTTCTAGCAGCAGTTATTAATACGCTCCGGGGACTACTGAAACGACGACGGGCGGGAGGGGGAGGGGAGTGTGATGGATTGCCAAGGTATTAGCCAGTTAACGCGCCATAAAAATGTCTCACGGAATTAGGGTTTTGATCGTGCCATGGCATAGAGTTTCGCCAGGCCACGATTGTCGATACCGCGGTAGATACGGCCTCGCAGGTCGAATTTTATCTCTTACTTTTCTACCAGAGGATATGCGATTAGAGGCAAAGTATTGGGACCTCTTTTTGACTAGCTTAGCTCCGACGAATTCGACGACACCCCAAAATCTGAGTTCTTCTTGGTCTTGGACCGAGTACAATGTATTTGATCCTTGTTTTTCAAGTGCATATGTTTTGTTTCAAGTTATAAGTACACAATGAACTTGGCCTTGGTCCAAGAACTCTGGTTTTGGGGCGCAATTACTCGCTCTGTGATTCTCATACTGTGCGCTTCCCTCTACAGGCACACCCTAAGTATGAGTTCAAGTACGGCGTCCACGACGCGCACACCGGGGACGTCAAGAGCCAGGCCGAGCACCGCGACGGCGACGTGGTCAAGGGCGAGTACTCGCTGATCCAGCCCGACGGCACCACCAGGACGGTGCACTACACGGCGGACGACCACAATGGCTTCAACGCCGTCGTCACCAACACGGGCCACGCCGTGCACCCGGAGGCCCCCAAGGCAAGTAGTAGTTTGGTGGCAGGCAGCGATGGTGGTGCAAGCACGCACGCATCCGTGCCGAGGACGCGCTCGGCGCCCCCGGGCGCTGTTGGTTGTTTGCCTGCCGGTGCTCACGTCCCTCATGTTCCAGGTGATATACGCCCCCGCGCCCGCGCCCCCGCCACTCGTGTACGGCCACGGCCCGGCCCCGGGCCCCTACCTGCACTAGACCGGCGCCTGCTTCCCCGGAGCCGGGCGGCGGGCGCGACCAGAATGCCGGGAGTATGGGAATGCGAGCCTCCTCGCGCCAGCACCCGGATAGGCCCTGCGCTATCCACACTCGGACGCACATGCCTCGCGCTCTCGGAAGCAGTCGGGATCAATACTACTTCTAATAACAATAATGAACCCTGAGCATGTGCGAGCGTTGGGCCAGGAACCCCTCGCGGTTCGGTTCAGGGGGGATGGAGGAGAAACCGTGTCGGAAGTATTTCCCTGTTTGGTACAAACGCCACATCCTGTACATAAGTTATTTTTTTTTTGAAAAGAAATTAAAATTTTTTTTTTTTTCGGCCGGCCCCCTTTTTCTTTGCCACCCCCGCGACATGACATTCCTCTCCTCGCCAACGAGATTCACGGCAATGGTCCGATACACTCTGCTGTGCCTTTTAAGGCTGCAGACGGCAGGTGCACTTGCACTCCGGCGGCGGGCCTGTTAGTCGGGCGGACCTGCAGTTCGCCTTCAAGGAGCAAAGACAGTCCAACAGGCAAACATTGTGGGCGACAGCCTGGCGGGTAGGCAACCGACCTATACACATGGATGATGGGCTGGACTGCCTCACAGGCACCCCCTTGTAGGCAACCCAGCCCGACATGGGCAGCTCTTAGACTTGCCTATGCATGCACGGGCAGGCAGGCGCTTCACATTAGGCATCTGAGTGGTGTCGGAGCAGTGCAGCCAATTTGTCTCTAAGAGCGCTATACGCCTGTCATTGCGCGAGACCGCGAGACACTGAGCTGCAGCGGCTATCTCTTCCTGGGCTATTGCGGTCACACTCTCGCGGCTTGCGATGGCAGCAGTAGGGCTGCGGGTGGGTGCGAGGGAGTTGGGAGCGCATGTGCCCTCCTGGCCGCCCTGGCCGCTCGCCAGCCATCTGATCCCGCGCGGCGAACAGAGCGAGGCAGAGCGAGGCGTGGCCGGCGCGACGGACCGCGTGGCGGACAACAACGAGTATGGTGCCGCTTCTTCTCCAACTTCTCTCCCCGGACGGCCCCCCTTGACACCAACGCGTTCATCCCCGGGGATGCTTCTCCCGCAGCTCATCAGTGTCACTACACTACTGCGCGATCGGCGTCGTGCTGTTCAACGCTGACGCACATGGGGCGCGCGGGGACGGCGGTTAGCGTTGCGTCCCGCACAAAAGTCGTTGACCCCCGCGGGCGCGGGTAATGTTTGTTTGGCGGAGCAGGTTTAGCGGGCGGGGCAGCGAGTATGGGCCATACTGTGTAGGAACTGGAGCAGGAGCGGGGCGGGGTGTGGCGGGGCGGGGCGGGGCGGTGCAGGCCCCCCGGGGGGAGGGGGTGCAGCCAGAACAGGGTAGGGCGGCGCAGCCCGCTGCTGGGGGAGGCAGGTGGTGGCGTGTGGGACCGATTGAGTATAAGAAGGGGCCGACGGCAGAGCCCCGTTGCAGTCCACAGCCACAGCAGGACCCGAAACCAACACAAGCCAATCATCCACAATGACAACCATCCAGGTAAGGTGCAACGTGCACCGTGCACGAGGCTAACAAAGGCGCCGTGAGCTGTTCATGTTGCATTTTGGGAAGCCGAATATGCTTCATTAGCCACAATTAGGGTCCAGGCTTTCAAAGTAAAATGCAGTCCTAGCAGTTCCACACTTACTTGTGAAAATTAATTTGTCTTTTTACTATTATTGGGTAAACATTTTAGACAAATACAACAGGTCGTTTTCAAACAAATAAGAAGAAACGGTTCTTTAGACATGCAGGAGCGCACTGCAGTTAATGGAGTTCGGCTGGCAGAGCAGATCCGTAAAGATTTTATCTACCAAAATTCACCTGTGAGGTCACATACCCTGAGCATTTTGGGGTGCATGGAGGGCACATGCATGCAGTGGCCCATGGGAACGGGCACGCCGACGACCGGAGCATTGCTGGGGCCGGAGCCATGGCTTTAGCCCCCCTCCCCCCTCTCCCCCCCGTAATCCGCGCACAGACGTCTAATCCCGATAGCAGCGCCGCGCCGGCGACCAGTTGCCCAACTAACTCGTTGCGTGCATGAGTCACGACATGAGCACAGTGAGTACACCGTCCTCACACCGTTCTAATGAGACTTCTAATAGGCCCCGCCCGCCCCACCCCGTCCCGCCCACGCCCCCCCGAGAGTAGACTGCTTGCGTAACACATATTCGCTTTGTGGTGAGGCGACGCGGAAAAGGAATGTGTCCCGTCGTTGGGCTTTGGCAAACACCGCGGCCGATAAAACAGAAGCCCCCATTACTGGTCGCCCTGCGCGCGCCTCGATCACGCCTTTTACATTTCCCTGGATATGATTATCGTGGCTTCTGTTCCCTCACCCTTGTATCTCTTTGAGATGTTACCGGGAGGGGGGGGGTGATATTAAGACACGCTGGTAAGTGCCTGGGGTGGTGGGCCACCCCGCCAGACAGCCGTGCCAGACCGAAATGCCTACCCACCAGGTGTTTACCGCCACGCCAAAAGCTAAGGGATCTGTACTGCAGAGCGCCCCCTCAAGGGAAACAATAAATTCAAGCTCAGATCTAGGTCTCTTGACGCTGATGGCGGGAGGGTCTCTAACGAATCTTTCGTTCTTTCTAATTGGGGCGATCCATATTAATTGTATGTGATTGTATGCACTCGTTCGCCCGTCATACTTCAGCACACTCTCTCGCTCTCCATCAGGTCCTGCTGGTCCTTGCCTTGGTGGCCGCCGCCTCCGCGCAGTACGGTCACGGCCACGGGGGTATCCTCCTGTCCCACGCGCCCGTGGTGCATCATGAGCCCGAGCCCATCGTAAGTACAGCTGAGCACCCGACTGGAGCGCTGAGAGCGGCGGCCGCACGAAGGGTGGCCTACCCCGACGGCGGTACGCTGGGACACTACCCCCTCCACTTCACCCTCTCCACTCTAACGGCTCTCCCCCTCTCTCTCTCCCTGCGCAGGCCCACCCTAAGTATGCCTTCAAGTACGGCGTCCACGACTCGCACACCGGCGACGTCAAGGACCAGGTAGAGGAGCGCGACGGCGACGTGGTCAAGGGCGAGTACTCGCTGCTGCAGCCCGACGGCACCAAGCGCACCGTCCACTACACCGCCGACCACCACAACGGCTTCAACGCCGTCGTCTCCATCAGCGGACACGCCATCCACCCCGAGCAGCCCAAGATCGTGCACGCCGCCCCCGTGCTGTCCTACGGCCACGGCCACTACTAGACTGGCCGAGACCCATCGTCATCATCATCACCCCCCGCTGTCATCTCATCGTGTGCGAGTGTGTTGTGCGTGTGAATGTGTTCCAGCGATACTCAACCCCCATACGTCGCCCGCCACGCCACCCAAAAGCGGCTGCGCGGGCGCGCTGTACAAAACGCCGAGCGCTGCCGCTGGTGCCCTTAGTGAAAGGGCCCAGAAAATTGTGATATAAAATATTGATAAAATATTGAAAATAATAAATAAGTCATGATTGTGGTACAATGCCCCCAGCGCACGTTTACTCCGCCGATACCCTCCTGACCTGATCCGTTTGTCATCGTCGATATACGTTATGCGTCAGCGGCCGGAGCTGAACCTGCCTGGGCCTCGTAAACCTAGATCAGGGCGCGGTGTGGCGCGGCTCGGCGCGGCTGGGTCCAGGAGTGATACACTGCGCCTGAAGCACCTGCGGCCACACCGACCGACCGGCGCGATCGGCGGCTCAAGCACAGAAAATTGCGCAAAGTCCATCAAGTCATTGCCGGTGTGGTACTGCTGATTAGGCTCGATGCGAAATCGCCTTCTCCTCCCTCCTCCTCCTCCTCCTTAAGGTAAGGCCCGACACTTAACGGGCCCCACCCAGGAGCAGGCAGGCCCCACTATACTACTACTCCCTGCACACGAGCAGCACGCCGACAACTGCCATATCGTCACCACCCCTCTACTTTGTCCGTCTCAATTACTGCTCGGCTCTCGAGGAGTCCTTTACTGTAAATGGAATAAGCGTTCACCGATTTCTCTGTGTTTCCTTGGATTTTTCAGCTCTTTTTCCTCTGTTTTTTCTGGGTTTTTTTTGTTTTTTTTTGTTTTTCTCTTTTTTTCTCTTAAATTTTTTGGGGGCGGGGGGGTTACACCTATTTTTTTTTGAGTGAACTACCCTATCGTCGGCTCCAACCAGAACAAACCTCGCCCGCCTGCGGGCCTGCGGCGCGTCGTAGTAGCAGCTAGAGCCCGCTCCAAACCGGCCGGACGCGGGCTCATGCAATAAGAAATAATAAAATTAATAAACTCGCCACACGCGGTTTAGGCTGATCGGGACCGATCATCATCGCTCGCTCCGGAACGGAAGCGGCCGGTCGGTCAAGCTCGCCCCGGGGGGCCCACGGGCCGGCCGCTAAAGGCGCGCGTCCCGACGCTCACGCGGTTGGCCAACGGTGAGGCGCGCCGCCGCCGTGAGGCACGTGCCGTTCGCTGACAGGAAGGAGCAGAGCGCGGGCCGCTTGGGAATAAGGACCGGAAAGGAGCCGCCGTGTGTGTGTGTGTGTGTGTGTGTGTGTGTGTGTGTGTGTGTGTGTGTGTGTGTGCGCGTGTGTGTGTGTGACGCAACGGGACGGATTCAACGGCAAGAGCAGCAGCAGCTTCTCTGATCCGCTCGGGCAGGACTCGCACAGGAGGACGGGGCACTAAAAACAAAGGTGCTAAGTCCTACCTTTAGAAGGCACTGTGTGTGTGTGCCTTAACAATGGCACTCATTTTTAGCACCTTTAGGGCCATTTAGTGCCTTTACAGGGTGAACTAAAGTCAGAATTTGGTTAGTAGTGTCCCAGGAAAGCCACGACTAAGCACCTTTCTTTAACCAGTGTGGGCCGTCGCCGGGTACGCTGGGGGGTCGTAAGCGATTCAGTTTGGCGGCGTCACCAAACTACCATTCTTATTCGGGCGGTAATTCACCATTTTTCGAAAAATTGATGAAGAATCGGTGAAGTGTCCTTCGTGGGCGTGGGACCGAAATGAGTTGAGAGGGAATCTGGTTTGACCATATGATTTATTATCAGACAGGTTACAATGATGGAAATTTACGAAGGCTGCTTAGTGGATCTAGTGTAGTATAGCAGGTTTATAAATACAGGTGCCATAAGGTAGCATCGGTGGTACCCCATGGGAAGGTCTGTGTAGAATCTAGGTCGAATCTACATAGAATCTACGGGATTACGTAGATTCTGCATCGATTCCACGTGAAATGTGAAGACTCAACGTCGCATCTTCGTGGATAGGGCCACGACGCCGTTGTAATTTCCCAGGGGGTGTATCAGACAATCATTAATATTGTCTAGGTTATATCGCGACTCTCTAATACTAGTAACGAGTCCTTTTTATCTTTCAGCTTGGCATGTCCTTATTGGTAATATTGGCTGGCAGACTGTTTGGTACAGTGCGCGCCGCAGCCGGCGCCTGGATGTCTGGCGCCCCCATTGCCGTCACGGTCTGGCCTGTTGGTCTTAGTCTTGTTTGGAGACCTCTGCTCCCCACCCCCCGCTGTCTGCCGTCTGCGTGGACACCTGCTCTCTCTCTCTCTCTCTCTCTCTCTCTCTCTCTCTCTCTCTCTCTCTCTCTCTCTCTCTCTCTCTCTCTCTCTCCCTCCCCTCTGTCCCTCCTCTCTCACACACGACGATTTCTTTCCCAAAACCGGAAACTGGAGTACTACTCCACTCAACTTACACGACGCCGCGGAGCTGCCGTCCGCGTGCACGGAAACCGCTGTGTCTACCACGTGGTTTGTGTGTCGTCCACTATCCCCCCCCCTCTCCCTCTCTATTTCTGTCTCCCTCACCCGTCCACATCTCTCGCTCACCTCTTTTTTCTCTCACGGGTACGAGGAAAGATAGAGGACAGAGAGAAAAAGAAGCGAGAAAAGAAAGAGTAAGTGATGGGTTTGTGAAGCTTTTGAACAGACTCCTTTGGTTTTGTGCGTTGGGTGCGCACGGGCGAGGTCTCAGGTCGGCGCGAAGTGCGTTATACGCTGAGAAAAAACTTCTTCCTGAGCACTAAACGTTCGTCTATACGTTTTTTCCTCAGGGTGGAGGGTGGATCTACCAAAACTTACGGCCGGTTTTTTTGTGTTGTTTTCTTAGGATCCATTTGGTGAAGTACGGGGCTTGGCTCGGCGCCTGTGAGACTCAGGGTGGGCCACCCCGCAGTACACGCATGCACAGCAGGCGAGATGTTTGCCTAACTGCTAGGCGCTATGAGAGCTTCCAGAGGCTGAACTTGGCAGGTTCGTAACGCCGAATGACGGACGTACTTACTAGGTAACCCCTCATCTTGCGTTCACCGACCGGTGGCTGGTGAGTACACAAAAACAAACTATTAGAGAAAATCTGGCAAAGTTCTATCATATATAGAGCTCTCGCGGGCAGTTTAAATAAAAATATACCACTTGCATTTTCGATTTCAATGTTTTCCAAATATAATTAACATAAAACCCTTAACACCCTTTTCTTGAGGAATCACATGCGCGATGAGACAACGCACGTGTGTGTGTGTGTGTGTGTGTGTGTGTGTGTGTGTGTGTGTGTCGGCGCGCGCCCAGCAGTGTGGCGCCCTCCGCCTCCTTCTTCGCGGAGGCAGGGCCGAGCCGAGCCCAGGGAATCGGCTTCGCCATTTTCCTCATCAATTACGTCGCGTTTACTAATTAGGCGGCTGGCTCGGGCCCGCCCCGCCTCGCCCCACTCGCATCACAAACACACATTCTCACCTTTTCTCAGCACACGAGCGAGGCCCCCCCCCCCTCCTCCCTTTTGTTGGGCGCCACGTCCTCTCAAATCATTCGTACATAACACACACACACACGCGCGCGCGCGCGCGCGCACGCCCTCTTTGCACGCTGCTGTCAGTTTGTGCCCAATGCCCAATGGTGGTGATTTTACGTTCATTCATTGTCTTCGGATGACGCCAAATCTTCAAATGTAAAGTAAATAAATTCCGAAAACGAGAAAATAACTTAAACATTAACATGTACTCGAGCTCACACGTGTGGCCCTCTGGTAGAGACAGTCTTGGGGACTATCTAAAATTTGAATTTGGTCTGGACCACCATACCCTTATGGCCGATTACGCGAGCCTATAATAAATACGTCACGATAGTGATAGTATAAGCGGGTGTACTGCTAGCGGACCCACAGCCAGGCTAGGCCAGCGGCAGCACAGGTGGTGACGCAAGCAACGGACAATGGCCTGGGCGATGCACACACACACACATACACACAATCACTCACACACACACTCACTCACACATGGGTGCGCGGCTGCCAGCGCCCCACGCCTAATTGCTCGCTGTTGCGTCCAAGTTCATGGAGGAGCGTGGGCGTGCTGGCCCTGCTGGCCGGGGGCGGCGGCGGTGGCGCGCGGCGAGCAACGCAGCGCAGCCGTAGTGGCGCGCGGAAGAAGTGAAGAAGTAAACTGCGGCGGTGGCGTTCGGTGGAGCTGCAGCAGGTTCCGGTGAGCGGTTGCGGCTGCGGCTGGCGGCCGGCTGCAGTCTCGACTCCTCCTAGACATGATATATACCGCGTGGAGTCAGGGCTACGACACCGAGCAGCGAGCCGGGGTTATTTGAATATACACATGCCCTGACACCTACTGTATAGACGACCCCAGATCAACGCAGCCAAAGTATTAGATATTTTGGTATCAGCCAGCAGTAGTACCAAAGTAATTTTCGGAACACATTGATGCAGTAAAGTGTGCGAGTGTGAGTACGGGGGATCCTATCTCCTCAGTGTAGACGGTCTGACGGTCTTGTTGGTCGCAAACTGTGACCGTTTGTGTCCTGCCGGCCAGACGGTCGAGTTGGTCGCAACTTTGACCGTTTGTGTCCGCGGCACGCGCCGCCATGCTCTAGAGCAGCGGCGGGATAGGCGTGAGGTATGTACGGCAGCGCGTGCGGTCCGGACAGACGAGCCTTACAAGTAGCCGGCGGCTAGCGGGGCGGGGCGGGGCGTGGTGTGGCGGCCAGCAGGTGGTCCACAAGGCAGGCGGCGGAGGCAGCAGCGACGCCCTTGTGCACCGCGGGCTCGAGCATTGCGGGGAGGGCCAAGAGCGCCGCCGCCGGGACCGAGGGGAGAGTCCTCGCGCGGCACGGCGGAGCGGGGAGCAGCAGAGCCGTGTGATGAAACGATGAAACAACATCAAAATGCAGCGTCGCTGCTGCCGCCGCCGCCGCCGCCGCCGGACCGAAGCCGCAGCTAGCTCCTCTGGAACGGCCGTAGTGCTACATGACTACAGTGGTTCTTCAGAGCGGGCCGGATTACACATTGCTTCGGTTTGAGATGCATTATTGTCCACTTGGAACGTCCCCGATTTTGGCTACACACGTAGCCATGGGAACGAGATGGTCCATAGTCTGTTCCCACAAGGCGTCCTCTGGCTGCTGTGAGCTGTTGAAGACACAATAACTGTGCAGCCGTAAAACTGGAACGCCAGAGGCTGGGACGCGAGCCGCGGCGCCCTCCGTGCCCCACCGCACCCCGCCCCGCTCCGCCCCGC